CAACTGGGACATTATTGAGGAGACAGAAAACTGAGAGCAGAGAGGAGGGGAGCCAGAGCACCTCCAGGGGTTCTAGCATGAAGAAAAGTACTTAAGATGGGCTTAGGGGTAAAGTTCTATTTTAACATCTTCGGATATATTCTGAAGGCTTTTTCACTTGGTCAACTTTTAGCTTCGTTCCTAACATTCCATGCCTGTGCTGAACACTGGTATGAACAAAACTCCTTTCTGTGTTTAAGCTTCCTTTCATCTCAGATATTCAAAGCACTCAAGCTGACATAAGCACACAACTTTAAAGAAACAGGGAGTAAAGGTTAAGAAGTAAAAAGATAAAACAGACAAAAATTTAATTATGGTTGGGTTTGGCAACAACTGTGAAACTTTCCACTTGGAGAAATTCCTTTTTGATTCGTTCAATGTGTCAGAATGCTCCAGGACCGGAAGGCCAGAGGAAAAGCTCCTCAGATAGTGACCAGAGAGAAGGCAGGGCTGCAACAATGATGTGGGGATGCAAATGAAACGAGATCACATCCCAGCACCCTAAACTGCCATGAGTGCCCTTCTGCCTTCTTTGACAGAGTCATAACCCAGGACAAGAAAGACAAATTAAAGATGATCTTAATTTTCTGTTTACTCACAATCTCATTTTATTCTGTTACTAACAAATAAGTCTACATTGTGAGGACTCAGGAAAAGGGACTGATTTTTTTCTTTTTTAAAGAAATGAATATTTTCAGGCTGAAAAAGTAAAAATACCAAGTAGCCATAGCATTTTCTCTACCAGATAAAGAAGTTAAGCTTTTCTTAATGAACAGGTCTTGAGGTAACTGGGGGCTGAGGGGAGCACAAAATCAGTTAATTAACAAATATTTATTGAGTACCCACCATATAATCTCTATAATGCTGGCAATACATATTTGTGCCCAAAGAAAGACAAAACAAATTCTATTAGTAAAAACAAAAGAAAAGGACCTTCAAATATAGCAATGATGAAATATATTCTACCAAGATTATCCAACGTTTTCCGTATTTACCTCATCAAAGAGAAATTTTCCCCATTAGGAGTATAACAGATATCCTGGAAGACAGTGGAGGATAATATTGGCTAGAGTGGAAGATTTCCAGATTTTCAAGAGTTTAAGTATGTAAATGTATATTAAACTTCAATAATCCTTTAATAAGCTTCTTTATATTATCTGTTTCTCTGTAGTTTGGAATATTTAGGATTTTCTCAACATACAAGACTATTTCAACAGACGTTTTTATGTTGTATGTTAGTAGGATTTCTTCAAGCTCTAGAGAAGCTGTACTTTCTGTGGATTGATCATATTTTAATCTCCATTTTTTTACCATGCACACTGCTTTTCAATATTCTTGAACTTATTCAAGACTCGAGAGAAGTAAAACTAATTATCTACTAGGTTTGTGTCTATAATTCTACTCAATAATTGAAGTGCAAACAATTGATTTATCTGAAAGTTACAGTTGACTTGAAAGTTCTTTCAATGCAGTCTCATTGATGAAAACTCCAAGGTTTAAAACTTCAGGTATCCTAAGGTCTGTGTTCTCATAGTGCTGGCCTGCAAATCTAGATCTATATAACATAAAACCCAGTTCTGTTTTCCAAGGTGATAGTGGGTGAAATCAACTTTAAAAAAGTCTTACACTCACTGCCATCAAGTTGGAATCAACTCAGAGCCGTCACTCCAGTGGGCTTTCTGAGAGTGTACAGTGAACTAGCAGAGATGGCCCCCTTTCTCTGCTGGAGCTACTGTAGGATTTGAACCTTTGGGTTAGCAGTGCAAATCCCTACAATAAAAAGCAAAAGCTGAGACTAGAAAAAAGTCACAAGATGTATTAGACAGCTTTAATGAGAAACATTTTACAAACAGTTGCATTGAAACTTTACTCTTTGGAATCAGGGTAAGTTAAAATGTTTATACACTGGCATTAAATTTAGCAAACCAAACAGCAACCTACATATATAGATTTAACCTTCAGATAGTTGAAAAGTGATCTATGATTCTATAATATATAATTAATTACCTGTAATTAAAGAGCAGAAGATAAAATACATCCAGTTCAAAATAAAAGTATTCAAACAATCACTGGACCAAACAATATTCTTTTCCTAAAAGAAAATGTTACTTGAAGCAAAGAGGAAAAAATAGAATGGAGTGTGAGCTGTGGTTAAGTCTAAATCCTACGGCAATGAGAGTCATTTGTATTATCCTTACTTCTTTGAATAAATTCAGATGACAGCCCTATTTCATTTCTTCATTCAGTTTGGAGGCCAGATGGCATTAGAATCATTTACTTCACCTTGTTGTGCTTAATTACTACAATCAACACACTATTTTCCAAATTAATCATAACAAAGTAATTTCATTAGTAACACAGCAGGCTGTTGAATTATTAGCATCATAACAGTTTGCAAACAATTAAACTTTATTTGAACCTTAAAAATTTGCAGAGTGGAACATTATTGTAAGATCTAATGGCAACAGAGTACAAATTCAGTACAGAGCAAATAATCAAGCAAAATGCTATATAAAATATGACTTACAATCACCTTTGAAAAAAATTAGCTCTCTAACTGTTCATAGAAAAACAAATAAAAGCTAAGCAAACATAATGAGAACATAGCAATTAGCATATTTTCTAACAAGCCATGTTGTTTAAATTCACATTAATGATATTATTACAATCTTGATGAGTGTGTGATATATTGTCAAGGGTGTAAAGGAAACTTTCTCCCTGAAAACATACAAATGATTTCATCAAATGACTAGTAGTCATGAACTGAGAGTAATGGTTATCTTTCCTATCATTCCAATTTCAAAGCTTTTTATCTCTTTTTTATCTCTCTCACTTCCACTCAAGTTAAGAAAGAACAAAGGCAGAGGGCTCTGGACAGAAGTCACACGTCAGTTCTGTGTTCTCACTGTCCATGGAAAGACTAGCTGGCTTAGAATTGTTGGTCATCAGTTGGCAAAGGACTCCCTCTCCTGGATTAACTGTTAAAAAGAGGCTAGAATCTCCCAAATGTTTTACATTCTGTGAGACTGTGCATGCATGGGGGAGGGGTTGCCAAATGGGTTTGTATGTAATGAAAAGCTGCTGCCATCTACTGGCTGAGTACTAAAAACTGCATTTGAAACAGCAACACTAAAGAAGCTAAAATCCCAATGGAGCCACAAGGGCATCTGGTCCACTACCCAGGCTACTGAGTTTATTCCCATTTGCAGAGCTTTTGCAGTATTGTTTGAATCTATTTCAAGGGCAGTACATTAGGAAAAGATGTAGATGTATGCACAACTATAATTTCTTAATATTTCGATAAATGTACATTTATATAGATAGAGTTTGCTTACACAATCTTGGAAAGCTGTTTGGTTTTGTTGGGCGTTTTTGTTTAAATAAAAAAAATCTACCTGAAACTGGATGATAATGGAATTGAGGGGATAATGACAAAATATATCTTCTTAACGATAGTTTGTAAATAGTTTTACCTAAATAAAGGAGGCTTACAAATTTCACGTGCATAGTGAGAATCTTAATAAAACAAAGGTGAAAGGTTCAACAAAGATAGTCGTTAACTAATGATGCAGTATTAAGAGATTGTATCTACCCCAAATAACTATTCAATCAGCAATGCATTCTGATAATGCATGTTAAGGCCATAATGGTAACTTATAGTTATTTATAACACCTTTTTGTTTTCAAATACATCAGAAAAGGTAAAGCTATGATTTCATCAATCTTGTTTAAAGAGCACAGCCTGTGACTTAAATGCCAGGCTATCACGACTTGTTGGCACATGTGACAATCACCACTGTGGCGTCTCCACTCACTACCTGAACTGATCAACCTTGTCAAATGCATTGCCGTCTTTTCAGAAATGACCCACTGCTGACCCTCTCGTGGCGAGTTCAGAGCCAGTGACTGCACAAGACCAGGCTGCTCATCTCTCTCCCTCGGAGCAGCTGGTGGGTTCAACCACCTTTTGGAAACACCTTTTTGCCTTTACCACCTTTTGCCTTTTGTGTGGCAACACAACTCCATACCCTCAATGGATTGAGAAATTGTGGTACTTTCACATGATGGAATACTCTGTAGCACTATGGAGCAAAGATTTTGAAAAATACTACGTAACTTGAGAGAGACTGGAGAGCATTATGCTGAGTGAACTAACTCAGTCTCATAAGGACAAATACTGCATAAGACCATTATTGTAAAAACGGAAGGATAACTAGTAAAACGTGTATGGGAGTCCAAGGGGGGAAGGGTGGAAGCAGAGGAGTGAGGATAATTTTTTTTCTTGCTGTTTTTTCTTTAAAAAATTTTGCATTGATTTATATGGTAATATATTGCAATTTTTAAAAAGGGAGAGAAGACATTAAATCTCAAGTTCTTCTGGTTCCTCATGGGACTTTAACAGCCTATTAACCATAAGGCACACTAAGAGAGTGCTTGGTTATGCCTTTTTACTTTGAGGATACAACATTTAGATTCTTTATGCCATTGTATGAATGCCGAAATTGTGATTCTTATGAATTTTTAATTCTATCAAACTGAAATAAAACTTTGATACAAAATGGTGACAAGCCCATCATATAACTAGGGCATTTATTTATTATTAGTAAAGTGCTTTGTATAAATAATATTTCTGCTTGGCACATGTGTTGAAGGTGACACCACGCTATACAGTTTTATTATTTTTCTCTTTTTTTGTAGCTGTATTTAACATGAAGTAAATATGTCCATCAGTAAAAAATCTTTCAAGAAAACATACTATCTTATGAAAAGTATTATTTACTAAACAAAAATCATCTACAAAACTTGAAAAAAGCCATAGTCTATCACAGCATCTATTAAAAAACCTAAAATTTCTATTAAGTTAAAGATAACATCCTAAAAAATAATTTCCAATAATGAAGAGAAATTAGAATTCATATCAGAAGTAATAGTAGTTATGGGACATAAACTTAAGATCATGCTGAATTCTTCAGACAAATCAGATGGGTAAATAAAACCTGTAATTATTTCTTTGTAAAATAAGCAACAGGTATATAACTTTTCTGTTTGCATCTAATTTACATTAATAACTTTCATTTTAATTTCACATCAGAGGAATATTGTAACAAATGACTGCATACAATAACAGCTGAAGATAGACGTCATTCAATACAACAAAGAAGGGTTATGAGCTGTCACTCATGTGTTTATGGTGTTTCTAAATCCCAAGCACTTGCCAAGAACAGCACAAGAATCATCCTCCTCTGCAGACAGAACAGCAAGATTGTGTTTTCACTTTTTTTCCCCTTCACTCTAAATGCTGATTTTTCTTCTGCTTAGGAAAAAAAAATAGTTTTTTGTTTTCTTAGCCAAAATTAGAGGAATGTTTATTTAATGTTTTATCAATACAATTACCCAGAAAAGTCATAAATACAGTATTTGACTTATGAGGGGATTTACAAAAACATTTGGCTGCTATCATAGGAACTTTCTTTAAAGAATCTGTTCATTGTCAAAGTAAATTTCATGAAATTATTTTTTAATTAGGACAGATAAAAGAAAAAAATAGGTTTTAGGGTACAATATTTGTGTTAATATAAAACTACAAGGCAAAGATTCAGAAGGCAGAGAACATATGAGCTATTATAGAATATTGGATTAAAATGTACTTACCCAAGATTCTCAAATATCATACATCTCCATTACGTAGGCTTTAGGCACCAAGCCAATGGCTCCCTTCATTTCTCCTACCCACCAGCCATATCTATTGTATTCCTAATTGAAAACAATATACAATATTAACCTTTAGACTGGTGTAAGTACAATGTCGTTTGTATGCAACTTCTTAGAAATGTTATTTCTTTTTATAACCTTACAAGAGCTTGAACTGAAAATTGAAACATTCTAATCTTTTTTTTTGTTTCTGGACATTTTGAAAATGCTGTTAGGCAGATTTAAATTAAGGAATAAAAAACAAAGCCTGTTTATTACCTGGTATAGAACACAGAAACAGTCACGATAAAAACCTAGAAAATGAAACCATTTAAGGAAGAGGCCGTCTGCGCCCCTCTCTCCATTCTTTGCACACAGTTTAGCAGACACCTTGTATGGGCAAGCCCCAACCAGAGGAAATGAAGGGACTGAAGATCCTTAGGGCTGTGTTCTTCTTACCTTCAATGAGCTTATAATCTAAATAAGGTAAAAATGACTATTTTTCTCATAATATACTAGCCTATTTTTGTTAAGCCTATTAACATCTGAAATGTACAGGTGTGCCCTTTTTTAAAGTAACACAAATATGAATATATTTTAAATAGGGAAATTAAAGAGGAAATACCAATAGCACAAAAATTGCTCCACAAAATAACTCACAAAACGTCTCCTTGAAGAACGCTTCTTCTCTAAGATATTCATGTCCTTTTATAGATGATAAACTATTTAAGGTAAAAGATGAATAGAAGAAATGTAAAGGTAGTATTAGGTTTAAGCTTACAATGAAAGATCAAAGGAAACAAAACCATCACAAGTTACAAAGGCAAAACAAAAACAGTAATCTAACTGGTTTTAAGAGAAATCTTTGATGAGTCCCCTTTCGCTGACTGTGTGAGGGAAGCCTAGTGCTGCATTTCTTCCACGTCCCCATGACAGACGCACGCCGCAGGCCTGGTGAGTGCTCCAAAGCGGGGCCCCTGTGTCTGCCAGCTTGACTAATGCATTTTTATCTCAAACTTATTTATGTTCAGTGAGATACAAACAAAGCAAAATGAATTACAAGTTTCCAGAATATCATCTTCCAAAAGCAATACTCCTGTAAAAGCATTGTAGGACCCAAATTTAATTTTTCGTGTAAGATAAATTTTTTAAATCTGTCACCCAAAAGTAATTCAATAGGTTTTGATTTTCCAACATGTGAGTCATAGATAAATGTGCATATGCATATTGAGTTGTATCTGGGAAGGGGATGGTAACACCAGCAGAGACATGCCATTTATATTGATTAGCATGTTCTTGACCATCAGAGAGAAAAGTCATACAATTCTTCAGTACTAATATAGCAACATTAGCATATGTATTGCTATGTAGTCTATCAATGGGGAACTCAGAGGATCAAAATCTACAGGTGCTTTTTAACAGCTGGCACCATCAGAACTGGGCTTCCTGGAAGATGCAGGCAGAGACCAGGGAGAGGCTAATACTGCACTTACTCTAAGAGGGGCAGAGCTGAGAGCTCTGGTTTACGAGGTGGTGGTAGTATTCCGCGGAGTTGGAACTAAATCACAGCTGACCCTCCAGCAGATGTTCAGAGGCAGTAAATCCCATGGCAAGAAACTGCCCATCTTTCTCCTGAGGAGCAGCTTGTTGGATTGGAACCTCATGCCTTCGGGAAGCTGCAGTGCAGCTTCTTACCACTAGGCCACCAGACCTCCCTGGTTTATGAGTTATCCAAATGATAAGTTTAAAAGCACAATGACAGTGTGAATTTAGTGGATAGAACTATCTAAGCCACCATACTCTGATGCTCTGAATTCAGTGGTGATGACTAAAATATACACGTTGTTATGTGTCATCAAGTTGCCTATGACTCAGAGTGACCCTATGTAAACCCTGCTCTATTCTGTGCCAATCTCACTGTCTCTGACACACCTACCCCCACTACCCCAATCAATGGAAAATAGACATAGAATATATTTATCAGAAGAGAGAAAAACGATTTAGTGAAAGTTATGACTAATAACCCTTACATCCCCATAGGTACCTAATAAAACTGTCAATTTTTAAGGCAATTAATATAATTAGAGCCTTGTGCTTAACCAAACAAATGTACTTAACCTCCCAGAGGCCAAAGGCCTACATTGTAAGATTTCAAAAAGCAGAATTCACAGGACCAGTCTGAATGTGAAACTTTTTCTAATGCCAGTATAAAATGCCTTTGATTATTTGGAGGGAGTAAAGGAACTAGCGTCCCACATAGAAAACACAGGAAACACAGAGGACACGTTATGGCCCAATCTACTTCCAGAGAATTACTCTCAATTTGGATTTCAACTTTCAGCTTCAAATTACAAGCCAGAAAATCTCTGTAACTCTTAGCCATCTACTTCTATTTGGACTTGCACTGTGAATTAAAAGCATATGATGGCTTTCAAAAAGCTCTCTCACTTCCAAATTTAAGAAATTAATTTCCCACAAATCACTTAATCAAAGGGTCCACGATACACTTCACACTTGAGAGAACGTCTGCTGTGGTAGCCTGGGAAGATCCTTTAGATAGACAGTGCAGTAGTGAACAGCAGGGAGGAGCTTACTCAGCTCTAAACAAATCCTTTAAAAGTAACATCATATGTATTTAAAAATCTAAACGAAAATAATTTTTAAATGCTGCACACTCAATTAACTTAAAACAACTGGAAAAACATGTGAAATATACACCTCATAAAAGGACTGACATATAACAAATTTCAATCAGGAGAGGATGAAAAAGAAAAGCCAGAAATGTTTATTATTTCACCTCTGTAAAGAAACCATATAATACTCCCGTGTGAAATGAAGAGATAAGATAAAATACAGTGAGGTAAAAATCTAGTAGGCAAATTTATGGATTTATACGCCAGCCATCAGACTGTGTCGACAAGACGGCAAACACAGGAGCTTTTACTTTGATCATTACCATCCGCCCGATGAGCCTCCTGAGCAACATGAATCCCAATTAAACCATTTGCAGCCTATAAATTGGAATGAAAACGCTTCTTGGAGTACAGTATTCTTAACTGCAGCCTGAAGAGTCAGTCAGTACCAAGCGAGGTTCCTTCTGAAGATGACAATTTGCCTCTCTTTGTCTTTCCTTATCCCCAAACAAATGTGACCATGAGTGATATATTACTCACAGCAGAAAAGAATGTAATCAATGTTGTCTTGCAAGTCCACAGACTAATCCTAGTATGCTTCTATAAAGTCACAGGTGGGTTATTAAAGGAGGGGGGGGGGAAACCTTCAAACAAGAAGACCTCAAACTATATATTGTACATAAATAAAAATAAAGAGACGAAAGCATACCAGTCAGCCATCTAAATCTCTTAAAGGTTAAGAAGCATCATGTCATCTTTATGGACACGAAATCTCAGGTACAAGCAGGTCTGCCATCTGGTATCCTTCACTCTATTCGGCTTTTAACATCAACTGAAATGCTAACATAGGCAAGTGACTGTACTTCAGGAGGACTGATAAAATAATGAAGAGTCCTTTAATCTACAGGAAACCATTCTAGTCAATTTATAAGAAATATTGCATCCCTTTGTAGGACATGTAATTATTTTCTATTAATCATGTGCTATAAAGCTACATTATGTGGTTATTCTGTTATCACTAGAAAGAGGCCTGCAGTCAGCTTCTGACAATGTTAGGTAATTACTAACACAAAGCTGCTTTCTCCTCACGGAGTAATGCTATCAAGATTCAGAGGTTTAGTGATGCTTATTGTATAAAAATAGAACTCAAAAGAAATTCAATATCTGCAAAATGGATGGCTTCAAGGCAAAAACGTAATGTGGCAGTCGAAGCAAAAAAGCCAAACTTGGCCAGTAATCCGAGAAAATCATTGCAAAGCAGCACTGAGGGCTTGTAATGTAACGGCTGTGTTTTCAATTTTCACACCATTAAAACCGTTTTTACCTGTTTTATTTCACAAAGTGTTAATATTTACTAAGAAGCAAATGAAAGTGTTCCTTTCGTCGTAAGATTGTGCCAACGGGCAGGGAAATAAGAGCTAGTTTTGATAATGTGAAGAGAGACCTGTTCAACACAATAGTAAATATACATCCTTCATGTTTACACATGAACTGAATCTACTCTCTTGTGCTGGTGTATTATTTTACACCTAATTAAGGCCTAGCATTTACTTGAAATCCTCTTCAGCACCATGATTTCTCAAGTATGTTAATCCACTTTCTGAAAAACATATGGCAGAAGTCTGTGGCCTGAACGGAAATCTGAAATACTAACAAGAGTTTGTGATGTACCACTATGACTCTCATTTCTCAAGCATGTTAATCCACTTTCTGCAAAGCATATGGCAAAAGGCTGCGGCCTTAACAGAGACGTGAAATCCTAATAAGAGTTTGTGACGTACTACCCTTTCGGAAATTAGTTACCACTGTTTGAAAGCAACAGGTGTTAGAAAGGTTAAAAGACTATGTGGCCTCTCGCCAAACACACCTGTGCTTTAAAATACATTAATCCTTTGGGTAATTTTACCTCACAAAATGTAAACTACACTGAGTTAGGAATCAGTGGCCTTTACCATTGTGCCTGTATTATTTTCAATTCTCCATACTAATCTTAAGCATTTTTTCCCACTTTCTAAATTGTGATTTTAGTGCAAGTTTAAAATTGTAAGCATTTTTTAAAGCATTTTGTTTGTTTTTTGAAAAAAAAAAATTGTAAGCATTTTAATGGTTATGAAAACTAGGTAATTATGTAAAATGCATAAATATTTTCCTCAAAGTTATTGCTTCAATCTCTTCTTTGTTATTTTTCCAATAAGAAACTTTAGAAGTCTTTTTCTTTCTCACAAGCCATTGTTTTGTAAGATTCTCTTAAAGTGCTCAACAGGAAGTTGTCAGCCCTATTGTTTCAGTATTATCATCTACCCATTTATGGCTTGAATCTCAGCTTCCCAATCTGCTAAACGTGATTGACACTGACAATCTCTAAGGTCCTCCATAACTTCTGAATACCACCATTCAGGGTCCTTAGTGAAAACACTAAGGGTCCTCATG